CTGTATGACACTCCGGTGAGTAATCTGGCCGCCGCCCGTTGGACTAATTGAAGTTTCCGAACAGTCTTCAAAAGCAACCCCACATAGAGCGTGTTGCAGTAATCTATTCGGGATGTAACAAGAGCGTGGACCACCGTGGCCATATCCGACTTCCCAAGGTACGGGGTTGAACACTGTGAAAGCCACCCAAAGCAGGTGAATACAACATTGAACGAAACATTCAGAATAATCACAGGATGTCAAACCTACACCTGTTGATAGATATTAAAAGCTAGCATTGCCTCCCCCCCGATGTGCAATGGGAAGTTGCTGTCAGCTGTGAGAGAAATAAGGTTGAAGACTGTGAAAGCCACCCACTGCATAGCTATCAGCCTCCTCCCAGTAGACTCAAATCAAAGAAAAGCTTTATGAGAACTACCACTTCTCTTGGCATCCCCCAGCAACAGCAAGAGTATCCCTCTGGGCAGCTAAACCAGGAAATCCCAACTGGATACCCCCCCCCCCCACCGAGGGTCTTCCTCCAGGGGCAAACCAAGAATGGGCAACTTGGAAGTCCCTGAACAGACTCAGAAGCAGAGTGGGCAGATCAAAAGGCAACCTGGCAAAATGGCACTACCTAAAGGAATCCCATACCTTGTGTGACTGTGAAGCAGAACAGACAACTCTGTTGCAACTCAGAGTAAACTTCACCTTGCTTCCAAACACCACCACACAAGAGCTGTAGTTTTATAGTTTATTGAGGAAAAAATCCAAGTCAAAATAAAGAATAAGCATTGCAAAGTTCCAAACGTTTAGGTTAAATGCAGAATATAGTTCCAAAGATCTTCAGGTAAAAACAAGAGACAGAACCTTATAGGCAAAGTTCAAAACAGAGTCCAAGGTACAAGCAATAAAACATTTGCTCCAAGAATCACAATGCAAGAAATCCCAAGCATGCTGCATTCCAGGCTAAGGTTATTCCATGAAGCTTTCAGGCTAATAAGCTCCGTTGAACTGACGCTTTCCCTTAGTGTGCAAGAAGCCTAAATACCTTTCTAACATGAAAGCATTATGCTCTCACCAACATGAAAGCATTGCGATGACCTTGGCCCGAGCTGGCTTCCCGTCTGCTAGCCAGGCGAGAACTCCGCCTGACCCTCAAATCAAGATGGGCCTGCCGAGTCAGGTCACTATCAAGGCTTTCTGCACTTTCAGTATCAGCGTGGGAAGGAGGCAAAAGCCTCCCCACCTGTTTGCTATCTCCTTCCTTAAAATTCTTTTCTTTTGAGATCTGCTGTTGACTCTCCACTGTCTGTGGGAGCCTCAGAAAAAG